TTTAATTACCCTGCGTATGGGTATTAAGTAAACAAACTAAGCAACTGCTAAGTGTATTGTTATGATGATCAATGGTGCATTTTTCAAAATTGTGAATGCCATAGCATCTGGCTTAAAAACATGAATCAAATTCAATCACTGGAAAGTTGTTGCATAATGCTCAGGTGACCTATAAGGCCCATGGGCCTCTTGTTTTCATAATTTTTTTTTTTTGCTTCTGTATCATTAAAATGATCCCCTTGCATGATGATTTGGCTTATAATTAGCATAATTAACAACAATTAAAAATTCACATTTTGGCATGGTAGTTTCTGATCTCGGTTAAGTTATTCAAACTTATTGTTCCTTGTATCTAAACCAAATTAAACTGTATGCAATGGTGATGCATTATTATAATTGTTACGTTGATGTTGATGGAAGCATTGAGATGCTGTAGTTTATACATTTTTGTTGATATAAGCATTGAGATGTTTTAATTTATACATTTATGCTGATAGAAGCATTGATATGCTGTGCTTGATGTTTTTCTGCTCCAGAGAATGAGAACAGGGAGATTTTTTTTCTTTTTCTTTATTTAGTACATAAGAACCATCTTGTCCATGCTGTTGTTGGATGTGCAGTATAATGTATATGCTCTGGATGCTTTATATAGTCTCTTTATCATGTATCAGTGACCATGTTTGAGTTCCATTTGTCTCTTCCCGCTGTAACCGTGAAAAGTGCCAAAGTGCTCAGTGTCGCTCTTAATAGAATATATAGGGAGAAGAGCGACACTGAGCACTGGCTTCTGCGCATGCCTAGGGATTTCAGTCGCTTCAAATCGAAGCGGTGTCCCACTGAATTTAATTCCATGGTAATAGTATCCAAAGTCGTAGATTTTTATGTTTTCTTTGTTTATTTCAATCTTAAAAGAAGGCAAGACAAATAAAATTTTAGAACTTTTCGTTTATTTTTTTTTTACCTTGTATAGAATATTAAATAATCTTTTAATTAAGGAATGTTTTTTAGTTTTGTGCGAATTATTGGTGTGTGAATCACACAGACTTGTCACGTAGGCATATTTCATGAAGCGCGCTAGCGCTTTATGAAAAATATCCTATGTGCAAGTCTGTGTGATTCACACACAAATAACTCACACAAAACTAAAAAACATTCCTTACATTTACATTTTACCCGTTTGGAGGCAACTAAAATAAACTCAATATTTGAATTTCTCGCTGTCCTATATTATTGCATTTTACTAACGTCGCTGCAGTCTCATTGTGACGTCACGTTAACGCACGTTTCTCCGTGTATATTTCTACGCGTGAGTATACACGAAAATGTTTTTCAAATCAATTTCACAGTAAGCTTACTAGAAATACACGGCGAATGTAAATATTTTTCTATATTATAGAGAATAAACGGCTACACATTTAATTGCGGTAAATTGAACAGATAGTTGTATTTAAAAAAAGAAGAAAAAACATGCCACAGTCCCTCAGTCATTTCTTAATAGGTGTGAACCACGCCGTGGGCGTTATCTCAGACAGGTGTCAAAAATTACCTGTATGTTAATAACTAACAAACACAACTCCCCATGGTCGATTGATAATTTGATACCTATTCAAGGTGAAGTCTAGTAACGAACCTTAAATATCTGAAATTTATCAAAATATAAGTTGAAAAAAATATATTTATATAAGTTCTATCAACCAGTTTTTATTTAACAGATAAATAACAAGAAACACGAATAATTATGAAGAATGAGCATCAGTGAAAAGTGTCACTCTTCAAAATGGCACTTTCCTATTTTGTCACACCTGACTTATATATCGTGTGTTAAACATGTATAAAGTAAAATCTAGAGCCGGTCTTAGTTGATATACTAGTATATGATTTAGGTATGATTTAAGAATTCTAGAAGAAAAAATCGTAGAAAATAATAATTTTGAAATAGTTATGAGCGTCAGTGCTGAGTGTCGCTCTTCAAAATGGCACTTTCCTATTTTCTCACACCTGACTTATAAATCGTCTGTAAAACTGGTATACAGTAAAATTTAGAGCCGGTTTTAGTTGATATAGATGATTTAGGTATGATTTAACAATTCTAGAAGAAAAAATCGTAGAAAATAATTATTTTGAAATACAGTAAAATTTCCAGCCGGTTTCAGTTGATATACATGTAGATGATTTAGGTATGATTTATGAATTCTAGAAGAAAATATCGTAGAAAATAATTATTTTGAAATAGTTATGAGCGTCAGTGCTGAGTGTCACTCTTCAAAATGACAGTTTCATATTTTGTTACACCTGACTTATATATCGTGTGTTAAACAGGTATACAGTAAAATTTAGAGCCGGTTTTAGTTGATATAGATGATTTAGGTATGATTTAAGAATTCTAGAAGAAAAAATCGTAGAAAATAATTATTTTGAAATAGTTATGAGCGTCAGTGCTGAGTGTCGCTCTTCAAAATGGCACTTTCCTATTTTCTCACACCTGACTTATATATCGTGTGTTAAACAGGTATACAGTAAAATTTTGAACCGGTTTTAGTTGATATAGATGATTTAGGTATGATTTAAGAATTCTAGAAGAAAAAATCGTAGAAAATAATAATTTTGAAATAGTTATGAGCGTCAGTGCTGAGTGTCGCTCTTCAAAATGACAGTTTCATATTTTCTTACACCTGACGTATAATCTTCACTCATTATTTGACAGAGTACACCTCAAATAATACAACACATAAGCTGTAAGCCAGGCTAGCTTAGTGGGAGCAGCTGGCATTTATTTAATAACAATTCATAACAAACAGGCATACATCATTGTGTATGTGATCAATGAAGTACTGCAATGTTTTGATTAACTATGCGTTACATGCTATGCATTATACCCCTATCAAAGACATTAAAAACCGCCCAGGAAAAAACCATAGACGAGTAACTATGGAAAACCTGTGTCCATCGCTATGTAAATAATGCCTCAAGGGAGAATGCCGGACGTGCATTCGGAGCAGTACTTGGTATGCATAAACACCATTTATGTACATGTACAATAAAGCAAAATCAAAATATATGACAATATTACATATATATATAATATATTTCATATATCAATGTATTAATTTGAATTTAGATATAAACATAAACATAAACGTTTGTGTTCTGCGGAGCACTGGCTTAGAATGATCCAACATCAAACAAAATACCACCTTCTTATTGGCCTTCCTTTGGCCACGCCTAAAATAAACAGGCATTTCCAATAAAAACGTTTCTATCATACAATGTTTTCCCGCTATTCTACGAAACGCAGGAAAACTTTAGTATAATCTTCACTCATTATTTGACAGAGTACACCTCAAATAATACAACACATAAGCTGTAAGCCAGGCTAGCTTAGAATATCAAGTTCAAAAGTTAGAGCGTGAAAAAATATAACTTTCAGGTATCAAATTTATAAATTACACCTGAAAAAAAAATAATGATGAACAAGCAACTGTTCTTTCTAAGGAAAAATGTTAGATAATACCGACCCCCCCCCTTTTTTTTTTTAAATTAAAATGTTCTTTCCAAACTGACATTAACATATAGCTGTCTTTTGTCGAACCCGACAGTCTTTAAACGGGGGACGTGGTCGAATTGCCCGCTGTAGCGTCAACGCCTGCGCCCATAAAATATATGCCAATGTTAATATTTTCACAGGGCTTGTTGATGCAGATTCACAAACTATCACTGTTTCATTTTCTTGTCTGTCCTGTTCATTTATAATTTTACGTATGAACGCTTTTGATGAATTTATATCTGCTAAAACTACGTCAAAAGCGACAAAATGATCTTGAACTCGTCGATATCTTAATCATCTTGCATTTGTTGAACTGTCTGAAACTCCACGAAATATTTTTACAAATGGAATGATCGTTAGGATCCGAGTTTCCTGGAATGAATCGTTTAGACCCGAGTATCCCAGAATGGAATGTACTCACTTGATGACACAGTCGCACAAAACACAAATTTTGATTTTATTATTTTTTACACATTTCCTCATTTCTCTCGATAATCACACAACTTCTACCTTAGGACGACATTTCCTATATCTTCTGAATCCACGCTGATTTTACCACCTTTTCCATGATCTTGTCCAAAGTTATGTCTGCAAAAACAACTTATGCGTAAAACGAATGTTTATACTATATTTAATAAAAAATCTAAGAAGTATCATATCGATTATCTTGTGTCCACCATAAATACCTTGCACACTTTTGAGTTATCAAATACGTTACTTGTTTAATTTCTTTTAACAAAATATTGTCATTTGACTTCCTTTATTCTTTTTTTAAAAACTACCAATAAGAAACGGACTTCCATACTGGAAACATTAAAGCACTCTTTCTGATACTAAACCTTGTTGGAGACACTAATCATTATTAATAAGCTATACATTGTCTAAATATATTATTTCTACTAGTGCCTTGACATGACAATTTTTATTTTATTTTATTTATTTATTTATTTATTTATTTATTTTTTTTTTTTTTTACACCTTGAGTTTTAATCAGTAGTAAAACTGTCACAAACAAGTGGACCTAAGGTTCAACATATGTTTTCAAACACATAAGACTTAATTCTCCAATCGTTGCTATTTAAGCACACACTAAAAGTTTTGGCTCTAACTTATTATTATTATTTTTTTTTTTCACAATTACCACGTATCCGTTTTGCAATATTTTATTAATATTATGGCTTTCTACTGCCCACCTCTATAATTCTACACACATCTTGTCTATATATCCCAAATGCTTTTCCCTATAATATTCATTTATCTATTTTTAGATTCCGGTTCTCTCCACATAGAACTCTGACAAGATTCCTGACTTGTCCACGTATTGAACGTTTCTGACAAGATTCCCGACATGTCCCCGTATTGAACGTTTCTGACAAGATTCCTAACTTGTCTAAGTATTAAACGTTTTGACAAGATTCCTGACTTGTCCACGTATTTTTAAAACGTTTTTTAATCATTGAATCTTTCTATTAGAGCACCAATAACATGAATCAGACGCATCACTTTAAATATTCAAATAAGATTTCTTCTCTAGACCTTTTGAATTAAGCATATTTATAATTGACAGATTCCAAAGGATGAGACACAAATCCAAAGAAAACTTTGATATAGACTTCTCCTTTAACATTTTTTTTTAATATTAGTAGAATTACCAAAATAACGTACATGGATATAAATGTTCTATATATATATATATATATATATATATATATATATATATATATATATATATATATATATATATATATATATATATATATATATATATATATATATATATATATACATATACACATATATATATATATATATACATATTATATATACATATACATATATATACACATATACATATATAATTATGGATCTTCTAGCCGTCTACATGAACAATTTCCACTGATTATCACAAATGTAAGATAACTTTTTTAAAGACCTTTGTTTCGAAAACTCTTCTTCAGATAATGAATCTGATAAAAGATTTCCAATGTATCGTTGTATAAAATCCAGCCACATTTCCTATAGCGGCTTCCGAGTTATGAAATGATTTGCTCTCTCATACAAGTTGTTATAAGTAATTGATATATTATCATACTTTGAAAACAACTAACTTTGACTTAAATTATACTGATATGTCGTAACAATTTTTCTGTTCTCTGGGAAGTTATATACATGTACTATTGTTTCATTATTCCACTCGAAAATTACCAAACTATGGTTGTTAAGGCCGCTAAATGAATTGTGAATACTACACAATGTCCCAAAAAGTTTTAATAAAACTTACAGATACTTACATCTGCCTAAGAAATACAGGGTAATTCCTTGTCCTGTCCAATATTTAACTTTTTTTTTTTTAAAACTTTTTAATAAGAGTGCAGCAAATGGAATACCAAATGGTAAAACATTGAACACAAAAATATTTTAATACACCATCGTATTCCCACTGACTACGGACTAAGATGGTAGCTGAATAAACACTTTACTTGTCCTATATTGAATGCATATTTAACTGCAACATGAGGTATATCCTTGACCTCAGCTACTCAACCTTTTTATATATTTATTTCGTTTGAGGCACGAATTAGATAGAAATCAATCCCCACTTGGTGTAAATAACTTTGAATTACTTTTTTCAGAATTTCAAGGTTTTCACTTGAACACCCGGTGAATACCACGTGTTTCTCTAAAACCGGTTTCACCAGCAAGGCTACATAATGTCTTGAGGCGAACGGTGATCTAAATGCCGATCCAGGACGACACGCCGTGTACGATAAAAGTTTAAATCTTATCTTTTATTACTCAATCCAACATTTAACATGTAAATAAAAATTGTTTTTTCATATTTTGCGTGTTATATGTACATTGTACAATAAAACCGCTACATTTCGTTGCTATGTCGTAATGGTGTGGTTGTTTATTGTACTTTCATTTGAATATAATGAATGGATACAAAGTAGAATTTATAACTTTTTGCATTTCTTTGTAAACGATGTTAATATTGCCAAAAGCCATACTTATCTGCTTTTTGTTAAGTAATACAATACAGGTCTTGAGAAACACTTAAAAGATTTTTTTTTTTTAAGTCACTTGTTACAAATAGCTCAGTAAAATATATAATTATCTACCCCAAAACTCTCACCTTAATAATCGATAGAATGAACTTTAACATTTTCATTTATAGTATAGTTTCTTAAAATAAACCTTTAATAAAACTATCTTGGTATTTCGTTTCCTTATCATTAATATTCTTAGAACACTTATACTTATCTTAGAAACTGTTTCTTTATTTGTACAGTGTAAAGCCCGATGACATGGAAAGTAACAATCGTTACAGGACCCTGTTTTTCTTTTGACATCGGTTCTGCTTGCTCGTTCCTGCTCCCGAAAACTCAACAAAAACACGTGTGTGTTCTGCGGAGCACTGGATTAGAATGATCCAACACTTCACGAAATACCACCTTCTCATTGGCCTTCCTTTGGCCACGCCTACCATAAACAGGCATTTCCAATAAAATACGTTCCTATCATACAATGTTTTCCCGCTATTCTACGAAACGCGGGAAAACTTTATTATATATCGTGTGTTAAACAGGTATACAGTAAAATTTAGAGCCGGTTTTAGTTGATATAGATGATATATGTATGATTAAGAATTCTAGAAGAAAAAATCGTAGAAAATAATAATTTTGAAATAGTTATGAGCGTCAGTGCTGAGTGTCACTCTTCAAAATGACAGTTTCTTATTTTCTCACACCTGACTTAAATATATTGTGTGTTAAACAGGTATACAGTAAAATTTTGAACCGGTTGTAGTTGATATAGATGATTTAGGTATGATTTAAGAATTCTAGAAGAAAAAATCGTAGAAAATAATAATTTTGAAATAGTTATGAGCGCCAGTGCTGAGTGTCGCTCTTCAAAATGGCATTTTCCTATTTTCTCACACCTGACTTATATATCGTCTGTAAAACAGGTATAAAGTACGCGTCCCGGTGATTCAGATTTGTTGCGTTGTAAAAGTATGTCGACTGTTTCGAGTACGATAACGAAACCAAACGGAGAGTAAATAAATCAAAACTTCACATAATTCAAACACTCATTAATAAGCCTTTTTACCATAGATATCAATTTATTTTTACACCGTTGAATTTATTAATTATCAATTGTTAAATTACTAATTATTCGGAACTGGCCAAAATCCGGAATTGGCCAAACGATTGTAACGCTACAGATCTGCAGCTACTTTTCATAAGGACTCCCGAGTATACTGGGACTGTCAGAATATTTTTTTCCGTAGAGCTACAGTTCTGCAGCTCATTAAAAGTCTTCAAACCAGAATTGAAAAAAATGTAAATAACATTAATTCTAAAAGCCAATTTTGTGTCACATGCATGCACAAGGGAATATATTCTATCAAGGTCTAGATCTTATCATTTATTTCTCTTATACCCTTTTGAAGTCCAAAACAACTAATTTCTTATTACAATAAATATTTTGAATATGAAAAAGTCCTTTGGGATGTAGTGATATTTTCTTTTTTCTTATCAAGTTATACTATTAAAAATTTCGTAACGTTTCCACAATAGTCTATTCTTAGAATGCATGCTGCTTTGCATGATCAATATGAACATGTAAAAGAAGTTGAATTCCCCCCCCCCCAAATTTTATTTTTTTGTCATTATATTTTATTCACATACATGATGATACACTGTAAACAAAATAAGTACTGTAAAAAAAAAAAAAAAGATCGATAGGCGTCGGTCTTGATTGCAAATGCATTATTCATGTTAAGAATTTATTGCACCAAATGAGTAATTATTTGATTCTATAGTTTCTGCATATTTATGCATAAAAGCAAGTTATTTATAAATTGAGGTCAGTACTGAGTAAAACGATTTTTTGGATAATAAATATAGCAAACAGTAAGCTAATTCATTTGAGTTTCACATACATTCAGTTACCACTTAAGGTGGAATGCCACGCAAACTTTTTATTTTATAGATCTTTGAGTCATTTTAAACAATGGTTTCAGCATTGAAAGGCTGTGGTTCGACTTTCAATTTTTTTTCATAAAGATAAAATAAAACATATTATTATACAACACGCAGCTATTTGCGTGAGGTATAATGTTTTTTACTCGTCCGTCAGAGTGTCAGTCAGTCAGTCCTTTTTTTTTGTCAGCGCAACTCCTCATAAACCACTGCACAGAATTTCTTTAAACTTTGCAGGTATTTAGGACACAATGTGTAGATCTACGCGCATATTACCAAGAAATTCCGATTCCATTATTTTTTCCGGGAATTTCCGCACTTTTTAACTTTGGCATTTGGCCATACCTTGAATATAGAGATGAACAGTTTGTCAGCGCAACTCCTCATAAACCACTGCACAGAATTTCGTCAAACTTTGCAGGTATTTAGAACACAATGTGTAGATTGCATATTACCAGGAAATTCTTATTATTTTATTTTTCCGGGAATTTCCGCACTGTTGAACTTAGGCATTTGGCCATACCTTGAATATAGAGATGAACATTTTGTCACCGCAACTCCTCATAAACAGCTGCACAGAATTTCGTCAAACTTTGCAGATAAGAATTTCGTCAAACTTTGCAAATATTTAGGACAAAATATGTAGATGTGCATATTACCAGGATATTCCTATTACTTTATTTTTCCGGGAATTTCCGCACTAAAAACTTAGATTTTGGTCATACCTTGAATATAGTGATGAATAGTTTGTCAGCGCAACTCCTCATAAGCCGTTGCACAGAATTTTGTCAAACTTTGCAGATATTAAGGACACCATATTTAGATGTGCATATTACCAGTTTTTCAACTTTTCAACTTAGATTTTTGGCCATACCTTAAATATGGAGATGAACATTTTGTCAGCGCAATTCCTCATAAACTGCTGCACATATTTTCGTCAAACTTTTGAGATATTTAGGACACAATTTGTAGAAATGTATTTTACCAGGAGATTCCGATTCCTTTATTTTTCTGGGAATTTCGGCACTTTACAACTTGGATTTTTGGGGATATCTTGAATATAGTGGTGAACAGTTTGTCAGCACAACTCCTCATAAACCGCTGCACAGAATTTCATCAAACTTTGCAGATGTTAGGACACAATTTGTAGATGTGCACATTTCCGGGAAATTCCGATTAATTCTTTCATTTTTTCCGGGATTTTCAGCACTTTGAGTTTTGGGGGAGCGTGGGGTATGTGAGCTTGCTCACTTTTTCTTTCATTTGTGAATATTTTTACCTATTCTAAAAACACCACAAAACTAGTCCTTAGTGAGGAGAATATAGAATTCCTATGGAATGCCATATACGACAGCCAACTGCTTACTGCCAACTGTTTACTGCAAACTGCTTACTGCCAACTGCTGACTGTCAAATGCGTTCTGTTTACTTTAGCATCACATCTACGCCACAGGTACTTGTGGACAGGACCCCATCCCCCAAATATTGAACCCCTTGGGCTTATTGGATTTTTTTAAAATTATATTTATTACACTTATTCATCATGTGTACAATATGAAAAAAATTTCAAAATCCCAAAACAATCGCTCTACAAAAAAATACCCACTCATAATACATTATAAAGAAAGGTGTGCCACTCCGGTTTGTTTACGTTGTACCCCCACTGGTCTTAGGGTTTAAAAACATGTATTTATTTTATTTCAACCTAAAATGTCGATTCACATCGTGTCTGCATATATTTCTGTCTTAGTGCATGTTATCAGATTAACTCTGCATCTCGTAATATTCCCACAATATCTGACTAATCGCCTTAAACAGTTTTCCAGTCAGAACGCTGAAATTTCCCTAGGTACCGGTAATCGCAACGGAAGTGCATAGAGAATGTTTTACTTATTAGGATAACGTCCGAGAGAGTTCTGTATGACGTAATAATCTCTCTCCGGTTTTATCATATATTCTCTATGCACTTCCGTTGCTTTTACTTAAGGAAATTTGAAAACGGAGTGGCATACCTTTCTCCCACAGGTACTTGTGGACAGGACCCCCCCCCCCTTGATATTCAACCCCGGGGCTTATTGGACATTTTTTTTATATTTATTACACTTATTCATTATGTGTACAATATGAAAAAATCGTCAAAACCCCAAAACAATCGCTCTACATAAAAAATACCCAACTATACATTATAAGGGAGAAAGGTATGCCACTCCGGTTTGAAATTTCCCTAAGTAAAAGCAACGGAAGTGCATAGAGAATGTATGATAAAACCCGAGAGAGATTATTACGTCAGTCCAAAACTCTCTCGGACGTTATCCTAATAAGTAAAACATTCTCTATGCACTTCCGTTGCGATTACCTAGGGAAATTTCAACGTTCTGACTGGAAAACTGTTTAAGAAGATAATCAGATATTGTGGGATTGTTACGAGATGCAGAGTTAATCCGATAGCATGCACTAAGACAAAAATATATGTAGAGACGATGTGAACCTACACTTTAGGTTGAAATAAAATAAATACATGTTTTTAAACCCAGAAAGACTAGTGGGGGTACAACGTAAACAAACAGGAGTGGCATACCTTTCTCCCTTATAATGTATATTGGGGTATGTTTTTGTAGAGCGATTGTTTTGGGATTTTGACGATTTTTTCATATTGTAAACATGATGAATAAATGTAATAAATATAATTTTTGAAAAAAAATGTCAAACAAGCCCCGGGGTTGAATTTCGAGGAGGGGGGGGGGGGTCCTGTCCACAAGTACCTGTGCTTTCTCCCTTATAATGTATAGTGGGTTATTTTTATTTTTTGTGGAGCGATTGTTTTGGAGTTTTGACGATTTTTTCATATTGTACACATGATGAATGAGTATGATAAATATAATTTTTGAAAAAAATGTCCAATAAGCCCCGGGGTTGAATATCGGGGGGGGGGGGGGGGGGTTCCTGTCCACAAGTACCTGTGATCTACGCATGTGCAAACAAAACTATAAAAAGTACGGCATCGGGATATTTTGGTTAGAATGTATGTAGAGAAGCGATGCCGTGGTTTAAGCTCTGGACAAATAACAATTAAAAAGAACTAGTGCTAATTTTAACGGGGACCGTTACAGATGTTCCCCAAACGCTCCCTAAATCCCTTTCTGTGCCTAATTTCTTTAAGACATTTTTAAAAAATAATATGATCAGAATCGAAGGGTTTTATCAAAAAACTATAAAGGCTACAATGCAATCAGCTATATGTCATTTATCACATCGTGCACACACACATGTGCATGCAAACATATGCAAAATTATTATTGAATGTTATCTAAACAACTAAAATATCTAAATTTAAATAAAGTGAGAATAAATAAAAAAAAATCTTTACATTGAATATACATTTTACTGTTTTTCAAATGCATCGACCATTTTGCGTATTTTGCGCACGCAGGCATGTGCATGCATGCATGTACTTGCATTCATTTTGATAGTACATGTACCATAATGTAAGAATCTATTATACCTATTCATATTATAAATTTTAACCTGTTTCGTTGAAAACTAAGAAAGTTGTAGACATTTTAAGTTTAAACA